GTACCACTGGAGCACTACCTATTGATCTACTCACATTTGCATGTTTTCGAACTGGTAGGTTGGCAGAAGCTGGGGCTAACAGCAAGAGCTCACCCCACTCCCCGGATTCGAACCGGCAATCTTTCCGTCAGCAAGTTCAGCAGCTCAGTGGTTTAACCCACTGAGCCACCGGGAACTATGCTATATAAATCCATATTAATCCACACCTGAATTCCTTCTTTTGCAAAACAAATTGGTTTGGTTTTTCCCCACTCTCTGATTAATGTGATTCCTTTCACTGCAGGAGTGAGTGGAGTCCTAACTTGCCACCTCCCCCTCTTCTTTTTTATGTATTTCTTTTATCCCATAACGTTGTCGCTGCATCTTGCAAAGGCAGCTGACTGTTCTGCAGGGGTAAGACTGAACACGAGTTTTCCTTTCTAAGCAGATCATGGAACATGGATTTCTGGGAGGACAACAGGTGCAATCCTGCCTCCTTGAAGATTTAGCGCTTGTGGCACAAATCGGTTGTGGTCTTCATTTATTTAGAGTTGTACAGTGCATTAATGAACCTCCTCACTTTTACAAAGACAAAGAATCTACTGCAGTAGTTTGTTATACACACAGCGCTGCCATTTACGCAGGCTGTTGCTATAACTTACTATAGTCTACAGACACATCCACTGCAGTGAGAGCTGCAGTCCCTTTCTGCAAAAGGAGCAAAAGTCATCTAATTATAATGCCTGAAGTCAATTGAAGGTGGAAGAGAGGAATTTACAAATGAGTTAATTTCCTTACCACCATGTCATCACAGCAAGTATGAGGGGAAAACAGAACACATTTGCAGTATGGTGTAACATACGTAAACAAGAAAGCAAAAGTAGTCAAATCAAAATATAATTTTCACTTTTACTGCAAAAAGGATAATGTGTTAGTAATACTAGGAAAGGGTACTGCTTTGCTCGAATTGATGTATGCATCACATGACTATAGGATAAGAAAGTGGTAGCAGCCATATACAACTGGCCATTATTATCAGCATAATATACATCCTGTCTGATTTTGACTGAAGGCTGTGTGCATGCAGAAACTAGCATAAAAACATTACAAGTGCTACAGGATTCATTTAATTTCTCCCAGTCTAAAAACCCATTTGTATGGAGTGGAATTTCAGAAGTATACACTGACCCACTACCCTAAGTACATTGATCATGTTTGATTTCAGACACCAAGAGGAGTCAGGCCTGGTAGACACTTTGATGGGAAACCATAAGTTGAATTGTCAAGGATCTTCAAGAAATAATTATACCTGAAACCCTGCATTGTTGCTGGGAGTCATAGCTAACAGTGATCTAACTGAAAATAATGCAACTGCCTATGATCCTAGGTTTTCCATACAACAAATAGTGAATTATTTTAGATTGTTAGAAGAAAAGAGTTAATGTAAGAGTTTACTATACTGCTATTATAATGTATAATACCCTATATACTATATCATACTACATAACCATAATATCATACATCACAATTCTACAAGGCTGTCTCTGCAAATATTTATCTTCACAGTGTTTATAAAAAATGAAAATCACAAAATAACGACAGTTTCCTAACATTTAGAAATCAAGTTCTTACTTTTAAAGCTCGTCTCCAATTGCACCATGTAACGTACAAAAGTAAAGAGACTCCAAACAGTACGGAAAAGTATCGCTCTTATTTCCTTTCTTCATAAGGTTAATTTTATATTCATATATATAGGAACACCTTCATTCAATTCCTTGAGATTTCAGAAATGCACAAAAAAAATTGTTTGTACAGGTCATGTTGGGTGAAACTAAATCTCAGTACAGTAATGGTTCAATAACATATCTGATAATTTTCTAAATCTATATTGTCCACTATCACAAGCTTTGTTTGAAATATTAACAATATGTCAGCCCTGTAAGTTTAAATTATCTAGGTCAGTGAAGATTTGCTACAACCAGTGACTTTTTGTTTTAGAAATATTATATAGGAAATAGTTTCCAAAATAGAAGATGATAACAACAACAACAACAACAACAACAATAATTTTTATTTATTTGCTGCCTCTTCTGATGGCTCAAAGCAGAGTACAATGAACATAAAAATGAACATAAAATACAATAAATTACATACACACACACATATATATACAGTGTGTGTATGTGTGTATTATAACATTTATATCAAACACAGATATGGAATTGACATAGTGGCAATAGAATGTAAATTAAAACTCATGATTGAAAGTTGACTGGGTAGACCTGCTGGAAGAGATGGGTCTTCAATTTCCTTTTGCAGATGTCCAACCTTGAAGGATCGCAGCTGGTGTATCAGCAAACACTCCTGACCCTTGCAGCTAAATTAGAATGGGCTACTAAAAAAATACAGACAACTGAACATCCTGTGCTCATACGTAATTTAACTGAAGTCACACTTCTCCAACTAAAATCTGTGAGGTGTCAGTTTAGTTATTTGTTACATTTATATCGTGTCCCTTCCACAAAGAGCTTAAGGGCACCTATCAGGTCCTCCTCCACATTTTTCTCTCTACAACAACCCAGTTAGGAACATTAGTTTCAGATACAGTGCATGTAACTCATGGGCTAACAGGGCTTCAGTCCAAATCTCCCTAGTCCTAGTCCAACTACTATATTATGCCCTATATAAATACTTTTCACCATTTTGGATTCCATTGTACTTTATCCCTCAAGCATAGAAATATGAACATCTAACTTCATATTATTTAAGAATTAAACATTGAGACATATACATTTTAGAAATGACTCCTTGTGCATTTTCAAAGAATAGCAGCCATACCATCTCTTTCAAATGCAAAAAAACTAGATTCAGATTTATGAAGTTGTCTTTTATTGTTTCTCCCTACGAAAGTCTAAAAAAAAAAAAGAATGGTGTATTGAATAAAGTATAAAGTCAAAGATGAGTAGAAGAGGGACATACTTCTTTGAAAAGCTGAAAGGAGCTATACCTGAGAAAATACATGGAAGGCATACCCAAATATAGGGCATATTTTTTTTACCAATTGCATATGCATCATAAATAGTCATTTATTCTGCTTTATACATTATATTCCTTAGTTGGTTACTTTTATTTGAAAGAAGAAAATTAACATTTACCCTAAAGCCAACAGACACCAAACCTTTTTCTAAAATACCTTAAATAATTCAGAAATATTTATATCGGTATCTCCAGCTACCAAACCAGGGAGTGGCACTCACTTTGTAGACTACATCCAAAATTGTGTAATCTTTTCTAATTGTACTTGAATGCATTTTTGCAACACTCCTTCCAAATATGGCACATGCTCAAGAAGCTCCAAGCTACAAATTGTTTTCTATTTGCATTGGAATATCACCAACTCTTCTGCAACAGTAATTTTTCATATCATCCTTTACTGAACTCCCTTCATCTGCACATTAATTGAACTTGCTTCCAATAAAAGCTGCTTAGTGCCCAACTAGAGTAGATCCATTGAACCAATGGTGCTTATGTAAGTGGTGACTTTCCAAGTTTCAGTTAATAATATAATAATAAAATTTTATTTATATTCCTCCCTATCTCCCTGAAGGGACTCAGGGTGAATTCCAGTCACAAAAAAGGCAACCATTCAATGCCTGAACATAACAACTAATAGACACATAATAACAAAAATTAAACTCCACAGCATATAAAAACAAATTATAACTTAGCAAATTAGAATAAAATTTAAACAACCTATTATATCAGACATAAAACAAACATAAAACAAAAACAGAAGCGTCAATTTCCCAGAGTCAACAGAGTTCCTTGGGGGCATATAAACTGATCACTGCTCAAGATGTCAACTGAGCTCGTGAGACAGAAAGACCGAAGTATAGATTGCAAATGTTACTCAGAGGTATAATAGCAAAGTAATTATCTATTCCTCTTCCTCGTAAGCCAGTGAGCAAAAGTATGTCTTCAGCTGTTTCTTACACAATTGCACAATTCTATACATTCAAAAGCAAGATCATATTAATCTTTCTGTGTAAGTTTCAAAACATTAATAAGGATACTATGTTAGAAAGAATGATGTATCAGAAAACTAGTATCACCCAATGTTATTTCATATGTAATCCATTCAAATAGAGACGGCTCAAATATTCAGTTCACAGTACAGGCAGTCCCCAAGTTACGAACAAGACAGGTGTGTTTTTAGGTTTGTTCTTAAGTTGAATTTGCATGTAAGTCATAACAAGTACATTTTTTAATGAAATTCCAGTCATTTATTTTATTTTTTTTGCTTTGGATAACATAGGGAAGGGTAAACATCCCTGCGGTGTTTGTTTTGCTGTCTGTGCCCCTGTTCAGAAGATTTTACCTCAGTTTTACCTCAGTTTCTGTCCTTGTGAGAACTGGATTTTGAAAAATTTGGCTTGTTGTGGAAACAAGGATTGGTGAGAAAGCTTTGGTGGAGACGCCTTTTTGCTCTTCTAGGAGTGAACTCCCCTACTTAGGGATAGATTTCTCTCACTTCTTGTTGTCTCACCCCTGTCCTTAACTATGAGTCTTTTGTAAGCTTAATGTTTGTAACACGGGGACTGTCTGTAATCCAAAACTTCATTCATTATCAAAAACTTGTAAGTACATTGATAAAATGTTAAATTTAACCAAATACTTCAAAAATAATTCAATATCATACTTGAAGAAAGATTTAGCTGAAAGATATAATTAAACTTGAATTTCAACAGGAAAGGAATTTACAATTAACAGGGTAGAATCCAACTGGTTTTCCTTTGCCGACAAAAGACTGCTAGCAGTAAAATAGAACACGGTTACGTTTTCCAGCAACTCCCTCCATGAACCTCTCCTTTCTCTCAGCCTTCTAGAACAGGACTTTTTTTATAGAGTATCACTACAAACTATATATACTGATGTACAGCTACAGCTAGCAGAAATAAACTAGTGGGATTCTAGCCATGTCCATAAACTATAAAAAAAAATAATAGCTGTTGTCCACTTACTGCTATTTCTCTACATGCTGACATGGATATCCCTGTTCCTTCGATCTGCTTCAGTGCATACTCCTTTTCATCTTTTCTGCAGGAAGAAAACAATCAATTTTACACATCTTATTTACATTTGCAATATACAGAAATGCATAACTAATTCAATCTCTGCCCTCTGAAACTGTGACTAAGGATACATCTACTCTGCAAAATTAATGCATTTTAACACCACTTTAACTGCCATGACTGTCGTTTTACATGGTCTTTAGCCATCTATGGTAATGAATGCTACTGAGTCACCAGACTACAGATCTCAGGATTCCATAGCATTGAGCCATGACGGTTAAAGTGGGGTCAAACTGTATTAATTCTACAGTGCAGATGCACCCTAAGTTACGGTGCTGTTATTAACAATGCTGGAATCTATAATGGCCCACCATGCTTTCTCTTTCTGTGACTGTCACTTTTGATATGAATTTTCTAAATTTACAAGAGAATAAGATACCTGGCAAACTGAAATCTAGCGAGAATATGTGATTTTGAAATGGAAGGTTTCACTATATGACTGAAAAGAGGTTTGGGTGGTGGTCGTGGTGAAGGTTTGTCTTCAAGAAAACACAGGGTTGAACGAATCAAAGCTCTAAAATCAGGACAGACTCCAAGACCCAGGCAATCGCAAAAGGTAATAACAGAAAACAATAAATGTGTTGGAAATCTGACAGAATACTACGAAGACAACAGGCTTAGCCAAGTGGTAAAATGAAGAAAGTAGAAAAGCAGGGTAATATTTTTACATCTATCAGGAATAGAAGAACTGTATCTTACTAATTTAAGATCAAATAGGTTTAAAAAGTGATGTTTATGTGTATTATTTGATGACATTGGAAACAAAACAAGAAAAAATCAGAAAGCAACTCTCTCTGCCTTTTCATTCTTGTACATCAATTAAAACCTAGAAAGAATGAACAAAACCCTCACATTTCTTAGAGAATAATAAGAAAAATGCCACTTAGAACTAGTGTTTAAAATAAAACAATTTTCAGTTAATTACATCAATACAAAGTTATTAGATCCATACCCAGATATAGACATTTGCAAAAGAAGGAGCAGGCAGCATGAGTTAGCTTCTCACTACCAGTCAAAGCAGACAGTACTAGGCTACATGGGAAAAACAGTCTGGTCTGATATAAGCCAACTTTCCAAGTACTGGATTTCTCTACCCTCCTAAACAAGTGACACTATTTGGGCAATGCTGAAAAGCACATCCAAAAATGGAAGTGCTTTTTAGCAATGTTCAGATATATTGCCTATACTACAGATCAGCCAAGCCTACTATTCTTGAAAGATCAAAGTGAGAGCTTTCTATAAAGTACCATCACAGCTGACTCTTGGTTCTTACTTACTTCACATTCCTATATTTTCTCAACCAAGTGTCATAAAACTGATGAAATGAAGGATGAAAATAAAGTTCAGAAAATTTGTGAACTCTCCCAGTTTGTACATAATGGGCAGAAACTGATGAACATTCATTACATAGCCCAGACTACACTCCAGAGGGGCGTAGTCTGGGCTATTCACTTCTATCTTAAAACAAGAAGAAATTAGATATATATGGGGATTTCACCTCATACTGATCATCAAGAAAGATAGGAAAACCATGGTTGCAAGGAATAAGCAATAATTAGTGAAGGTATTTGTGGTCCTGAAACTACACAATGCCTCTAACATGACTCAAACAAGAGTCCAAATCCCCATGCATAGCATGAAACAATCTGTGGAGATTGGCAAAGCAGCGACAGAAATAAAACCTGCTCTACAAGACTTACTTTCCATGATTATGAGCCAGATAAGCTAGAGCTCAGAAAATAAAAGAAGCCTACGGTTGCCGTATAATAGAAGTAGCTCATTTTATCTAAGTCTCCCATTTCTTTTTCTTCTTGAAATTTCATCCTTTCCCTCATTCCACCCCTTTTTCTCTTATTTTTTTTCTTTCTATTCCATTCAATATCATTTTTATTCTTTATTTCATCTTCCTTTTCCTTTCCTCTTCCCTTCCTCTCCTCCCCTTTGGCTCTATTAACATTTTAATATATATTTGAGGAATGAATTATTCAGTAAACTGAAAATCCTGGCATAAAAACATTAAAAAACCAGCTTGCAATAAAACATGTAAGGAATTAGAACACGTACAGTTAACAACTAGAGTCACTGCAAACTGGAAAAAAACTTTATCTTTAATATATCTTTAAAGAGCATATTGTGAAACATGCAATAAACCTTCAAAACTGTTGGCTCATGCAATCAAAAAGAAAGCTGAAAAATTCAGTCCTCCACATAAAAAAGAAAGGCAGTTCCATGAGTGTTTGTGGATTATATACCATATGAACAACGAATTTATATCTTATTTATACACAATTGTATAACTCAGAATCATCATCCCATTTGAATCTTGATTCTGTTATCAATTCGTAAACAATTAAATTAATTAAATAGGATCATCAACTCATAGGGAGCTGCGGTGGCGCAATGGGTTAAACTCTTGTGCCGGCTGCACTGCTGATCTGGATCCGTGAGATGAGGTGAGCTCCTCTATGTCAGCCTCAGTTTCCCATGCAGGACATGAGAGAAGCTTCCCACAGGATGGTAACACATCCGGACATCCCCTAGGCAACATCTCTGCAAACGGCCAATTCTCTCACACCAGAAGCGACTTGCAGTTTCTCAAGTTGTTTCTGACACGATAAAAAATCAACTCTTAAAAAATAACTAATTTCCAAAAGTAAACACAAATTTGTATTAAAAATACAAAATTAATAAAGTTCATGGCTATTCTGCACTATTTTAAAAAGTATTTATTATATTTCTCAAATCATGCTAAATGTTAATGAGAATTTAGTTTGAAACCCAATAAAGTTTCAACTGCTTCCAAATACTCAATATTTCTACTAAATATAGATCCAATATATCATCTCCTGTATTTGCTAGGAAAGTTAACTCTTTCATCACTAAAATTGACTGATCAAATAGGAATTATGCATGAAACCAGATGGATTATGAATTTAATTCATCATGTCAACAATTCCAGCTCAAAATCAATTCTTCTCTCTTATGCTATGAAAGTGGTGCTCTTTTAGCTGTTAGGAAAAAATAATGTTGGAATATGTTTAATCTTTTTAAACCAGTAGTACTATAGTTCCTCTGCACTTGTCAACATTATTCAAATAGATTATCATCCAATAGATTCTCATCTCAATCCAATTTATCAAAAGGAGGTGACAAGGTTTCCCCTTATCTCCTCTGCTGTTTGCTCTGTCTTTAAAACATCTACCTAATCTGATAATAGTATATACAGACGATATTTTATTGTCCTTCTCTCATCCTGGCATGAAACTCTTAGAATTAAAAATGTTCTACAATATTTTGGAACATTTTGGGGTTTAAAAAATAAAGGATCAAAAAACAAAAATTCTATGTTTAAACTTGTTACTAGAGAATTGTTTGCCATTGCAATCAATTCTCTAGTGACAGGTGTTTAAACATAGAATTTTTGTTTTTTGATCATTTATTTTTATCCCTCTGCTTTTAAATGTATATTAGTGATCATTACAACAAAATCATAATAAAGAAATAACAATTTATTCTTATGGATTAAGAATAAATGTAAACATTAGACACAATTTAATTTTTTTTTCTTAGGTAAATCTGCACTAATAAAAATGGATGTACCTCCAAATAAATATTTTATTTCCAGACAATCCCATTTTACTCCTCTATAGCCTGACTGACAAAAGTAGGAAATGACAATGTGCATTAATACAAATATAAAAAATTGATCATACCAATATAATAAAATTTAATCTAATGAAGCAAAAGACATTGCTATTTCCTAACTGTACCATTTACCATGCAAAACAAAAACATTTGTAATAATAACCCAGTAGAAGAAATTCTATCTCAATTATTCTCAAATCCTTTGTTTAAAATGAATGAAAAGAAATTGTATTCTTTCATAAACCTCCTTGATTTCATTCTCTCCAAATAGGAGAAAACAAAATACAGTATAATTCCTTATCCATGAATTAAATGGGGATTTTTTTTAAAAAAAAATCCTTATTTCCCCATTCCGCAGGAAGTGGTTGTGTTTTACGATCAGAACAACAGAGGGGAGGACAGCTCCTAAATTCAAGGAAGGGTGAAATTAATTTAGAAATAATGCAAGGATCTACTCCAGAGGTTCCCAAACTTATTTGGTTTACCCCCCTGGAAATCTACCTCTTTAAGCAAGCAAACAATAAGATGCAGTAACAAATGTGTTTTTATGTATCTATATTTGTACATAAATCATGCAACATGGTAAAAAAAAGATGCTGTAAAGTAGACACCTTGAAAATTGAAATTATAAAATTAAATTAAAATCAACCATAGTAACATTTGCATTACACAAAGTGTGCCAACTAAACCACTGGGATCTAAATAAGCATTCACTTATTCAGCAACTGATTCAATGGATCTATTCTAGCGGGATTAGCAATTAGATTTAGGATTTTCAGTGATCTAATTCAGAAGACACTACTGCATACTTGAAATATAGATTCTAGTTCTTCCTGTTAAAATTTATGTTGCAAAAAACAGTATTTGAGGTGCTACCTTTTCCTTCCATTTTTTACTTTTGAAATACTCATTAAAAATTAAAATGTATATTTATGTTTTTACGTGGCTTCTGAAAAGACCACTGAAATATATATAGGCCAAAAAGTGTTGGGCTTTTTCCAAAATAAAAAGAGCCATCCACTCTTGGCAGCACTTGAATATGTGCTTCTCTTTCTTTCTTGCAATTCCTAAAAGACCTACTGTATCTACACAAGAACTGAGTTAATAACTTTCTCAGACAGCATTTCTATTGATAAATGTATACAAAGCGGTTTTCATAGTAGAACAATTCGTCTAGCTGGCTGATAAAAGCTAATGCTTGACAAAGAAGCCCAATCTTACTTGATGGATCTTGGTGTTCATGATATGAAGAACAGTGGTACAGCGAAGAGGAAATGCAGATGAAGCTGTTAACCCATTCCTACTCCAAAGATCTGGCTA